TGTCTTCCCGGTGAGGCCCCGCGAATAACATAGCTTCAGTATGTTGGCCTGTACCTTCTCGTCTGAAAAGCGATGCTATCTAGCAGTGCAGGACAGGGGGGTCTGGATACCTCGGGACACAGCAGATGAAAAATGGGAAAGGTCATTGGTAACTTTTGTTCAAGGTATCAATCAAGCAGAACTTACAGCCGCATAATACAATGGACTGCAATGGAGTCAATTGAAATCAGTGAGAGGCAATCCGTATCAACATCGGTTACCGAAGCGTCTATAGGATCGCTAGCACAGGAAGCATACTCAAGCATCTTTCAGAGGCGATTCGGAACCTGAATGCAAGGTCCATCGCCTCGCATAGGCTCGCATGTCAGTCTATAGCAGCTCGGGGCTATAGTGCTCCAAGACGACCGACCTTGCAACGCCGGTTAAATGCCACAAAGTCATTGCATCGGTTCTAGACCGAAATTCAATAGAAAGTTGTAGAAGGCAAGACATCTCCGAGATCTGTTATACAGATAATACAGGATAGTACAGTAGCACCCGTAGTCTTCAATTTAAAAAAACAAGGGATCCGTTTTGATAGGCTCGGAGATCATTGTAGTATGGCACGGCAACATCGGCTCCTCAACATTAGCAGAATCATGTGCAAAGAAACGTGCTACGTAGCATCAATGCTATGGGAGCAATGTCAATTATATATTTATTTTTCCTACGGACAAATGCGACGCAATTCCTAAAATATCAAGATAGATGGGGGTGTCAGGATGATAGCCGAAAGGTAGCCTTCAGTACCAAAGTGGACAACTGCCAAAATCACGAAGTGCCGATAGCGGCAGTGACCCGGCTGACGTCCGGTACTACCCTTATATTCTCACGAACAATCTGATAATTATTCATACGGGATGTTCCGGGTACTCACTCAGGATACCCTTAGCCTGTAGATGGCTTATTTTATTTTCGTCTGTGGGATTGATAGTAGGCTGAATGAATTATAAAAGCTCCAATGTGGATGTAATTCTGTGCAGAAAAATAATGTGGCTATTTAATGATCTCTAGGGAATGCCATAATGTTATACAGACAGTGTTGAGAGAGAATTAGCTCAAGGTGGAATTGGAATTCAACTGAAAATCAACAGCGATCAGCAAGCATGAGTAGTGATAGCTGCATACAAGAGGAGAGGCAGAGTAATTACAGAATATTTATAAACGAATATAAATGGCACCTGTGGCTACTTGGATCATAAGAAAGTGGCTACCGGTTATAAGCTCTCAGGTCGACCTCGTCACTACTAACTAGGTAGTATCGTATGGTATTGGTTAGGTATTATTAATGGTAATTTAAGCTGCGTACCTACCATGTGTATCCATACTGTCAGCCGGGTGATGTTTCTCATCGAATTGAGAGTCCCCAGGCCTCCGCAACCTAGGAGGAAACCTTTGTCGAGAATCCACATGTAGCACTCGAACAGAACCTACCATCCGTCTTAGCAATTGATATAGTCTATAACTGGGAAGTATAAGAATGCATGTATAGTTCAATGAGTAGACGGACCCCTCTGACGGCTCGGGACTCACCCACTTCAGAGCAAATGTTGTTCTCCCATGACACCAGTGTCGAGAGTCTGTGGCCTTTAAGTTTACGATAAACGTGGTCCGTTGCCATGTTCAATCCGTCACATGGTGTGTCTCTGCACGCCCTATCAATTATTTTCTCGAGGAAAGATCAAGGAACTTACATTGACTTCAGCGCACGATCTGCTAAGTACGTTAGCCTATTATATGCGTCATAGAATTTCGAACTAGCCGGCGGATTTTCTAAAGAGGGAGTTCGTGCTCACGCGGTTGCAACCCATTTGGTGAGCTGAGGGGTGATGGAGAGCTAATACGGTGAGGTTCTATAAAGTTCTGAGCCTATTTATAAGTATCTATAGAGCTACCACGACAGATTATTATAAGTACGTTTTTAAGAGGTCGCAAACGGTTCGTGAATACTTTTCAAAAAAATAAAAAAAATAGATCACGCTCAATGTCCTGCTACAGGAGTAATTCTTTATCAGATTCAACACCCAGGCATGCTTTAGCACAGCTTAGGATACTACGGCTACTCTAGGATAGTATAATTTTATGACGGGCCATATATCACAATATGTTGCCGTGTCGCGGATCATCCAAAAGCTGATGCCGATCTCGCGATTTTGGCAGCTGTCCACTTTGGTACACCATACTCAGTGAGAGGAGCGGATTTGATGCGATGGCTCCCTGAATTGATCAATGATGCTGCGCGTTCCGGTCGATTGTAGTTCCTCCATTCGCCGAAATAGTAATGAGCTCCGGACAAAACCACCCTTAGAAGGCCCACCCTTCATGCTTCCAACCATCTCCTTTCTCTCCTTCTATGTCGGATCTCCCTGTGACGGAGACACAACTCATTGGACTTTTCGGAGAAAGTATAGCATATGGCATCTACGTCGTCAGTCTGGGATTTAGCGCGAATGCTTTGTTGAGGAAACCGGAGGGTTGGAAAAGGGCGAGGGAAATTAATTGGGTTATGGTCATTGTCAGCTTCCTTCTGTTTGTAATCGCAACGTTGGATGTTAGTTTGGGGCTGTACAACTGCATCAACGCTTTCGTGCTTTATAAAGGTCCTGGTGGACCTGAAGCTGTCTTCGAAGACATTTCCTATTGGGTTAATGTAATGAGAGTAAGACAATCCTTTCTATCAGTTTCCTTCGTTGCTTAAATATTCCCATTTTAGACGGCAACGGTAAAGGTCCAAACACCTCTAGGAGATGGAGTCCTAGTAAGCTGACATCCTTTTACGTTGGTTTATACGCTAACCGTTTTTCAGGTATACCGGTGTTGGGTGATCTATGGACGTTCCTGGAAGGTCGTGGCAATTCCGTTGATACTCTGGCTCGGTGATATTGCCTGCGCTATTGGGGTTATTCGTTTAGAAGCTATTTTACACCAGAGAACTACAACAGTCACCGCAGCGGATCTTACTCCATGGATTAGCTCTTTCTGGTCATTAACCATATCTTTGAATATAATCACCACCGGTGAGCCTGAGATTTTCCTTATTAAATCATTCATTTCTAAAAGGAAAATGCTTTTTTTTTTCAAGGTCTTTTGATTGCTCGCTTGTGGAAAATCGACGGATTCAGTAGGATTTTCCCGCACCATAGAGGACTCCAGCGAAGCAGCAACATCCGTGGAGCAATGCGGAATATCATGGAATCAGGTTTATTATATACTGTTACGGCGTGCATAACCTTTATAGTTTATGAAAGCCACAGTAATGGCGTATTGGCTATAGCCGCTATAGTACGTTGTATATTTATTTGTATCAAGCAATCCTCTCAGTTAACCGATTTCCTACAGGGTATTCAAGTTATAGGGATTGCTTTCAACCTCATAATTATTCGTGCGGCAGCAAGGGCAAGAGAAGAAAATTCTCGCCATTCAGTAATATCAAACCCCACAAACTTCCAGACAATGGGTCGTCCGTGGAGTCGCGCACACTCGAGTGGTCAACTTCAGGTCAGGATCACAAAAGACAATATCGGAGATGAAGAGTTGGACATAGGCCAAAAGGTAATGGTCTTAGAGCCTATTCAACGACCATAGATCTTCCTTTTTATCATCTCTCAGGCTTTCACGCTTCCCATATAATTGTATTATTTTAATTGTTACCGCAAGAACCGTATTAGTAACTTATCTCGCTCTCTTTTCCTCTATCCAGTTTCAATTTGTATCCTTAATATCTTCCTCATACGTACATGACTTTCTTATGTATAATTCGCACCTAAATGTTTAATGTACTGGGTCAAGTAAATACTTGCGCTTACAAGCTATTGATTAATATACACGATTCTACGAAGTGAGGCAACTTGAAGTTTTTGCGGACAAAATTGAAACGAGGGACTGAGATTATCTTTACCGGTGAAAAAAGATACTCCAAATGGCTCCCTGTTATAGGCCACTCTTTGATGTTTTTCTTTATCTGATGAATCTTAATTCCGAGCTGCTTCGAGGGATTTGTGGTAATGATTCCCGGAGTTCTCAAATTATTGGGATGCAACCTGGACTCGAAGGAGATAAAAGTGTAAACCATAGTTAACAGAAAAACAAAAGGAGCCTGGACAAGCGGCGAATTGAACGCTGGACCTTTCGCAAACCACAAATGCTAAGCAAATGTTATACCATTAAACCACATGGTCTATTCGATACATCTCAGAGTAGTTGTCTTGCCATGAACATTTCAGATGCCTGCTTTTGTGCTTGAATTGCACGTGTCATCGAAGCCTGATTGAATTTAAAGCGATGCCAAAAGGATGCTCGCCTATTTGAAGGATAACGGTTCCCTAGGCTGGTCAGAATGCTCCAAATTTCCTGTTGCGTTCTGGAATTTCCTTGAATTAATGCGATCACGGGGTTAAAAATCTAAACGAAACTTGTGACTGTCTCTTCTTCCCTTCATTGTCCGTTCTTGACAATATAACATCCGACACGGAGTACCGAAAAGTACACTGCTTATGGGATCACGTCCCAACGAGTGCATCACAGTCGTGTATACTTAAGAAGAAGTTTTGCATTCATTTATCACGTGTTAATTGGTGTAATTGGTGTAGTAGGTGAATGAATGGAGACACGGGGATGGGACAATTGGATGTGGGAAGTGACGGAGTCCTGAGATCGGGGAGTAATATGAGCAACCATCAGCATGTTGTAAGTGTAAGGTAGTAACTGGATGCCGATGAGTGGGATGTGGACTTCGGAACAGCGCCTTCACCGGGCGCTTGCGGTGCCCTGAGCTGGCGAAGGGGTTTGAACCAAACGCACGATTTAGAGGCACTTGCTTTGGCGACATAGTAAAGATCGGCTTACACCAATGTTTTCAAAATCGCGGGAAGTCGTTAATAGATATACTTGGTTATGAATATTATCAAATACTACGACATTTGGGTGAGCCATTAAATTGTAATGAAATCTCTGTAAGTCAGGTCATGGTCTCCGGGCTTGCCGAACCTACCAGGCATGGCACACTGCTCCAAAACTCCCAGGAAAGGTCTCACATCATGCTTACATTTGTATGTCCTACTGCAGTTGAACCTCCTATAACCCATACCTCTCGGTGGAAGTCTCAGGCTATGGGGTATAGGGGGTCATGGGCTCTCAGAATATACCTAAAAATAGATTTGGAAAAAATCCAATTTAAAATAGTCTAAAAGTAGTCTAGAGCACAAAAATAACTATTGGCAAGCTAAGAACGGGTCATACTAGTGAAGTAGGTTATACCAGTGCTTTCCATAGGATTGATTCAAGCATAGTTGGTGGCTGAATGATTCCAGAGAGCTTTCCAACTTGCGAGTGGTAGGATTATTTACACTATCTAGGTATCTGTCAATGAGTGATGCCACCTGAAGGACTTCACTGTATGTTGGATGAGTCTTGACAGGTACATCATTGTCAATATCATCACCATCATTCTTCTCCTGGGGTTTCATTGGAGCTATAGCTCACAAGAAAGGAAGGAAAGAGATGTGAAAACTTCAGAATGTATTTAATTTCAATTATTTGCACGTTTCAAGAAGCCATGTACATGTCTTCGGCATACTCGGCTTGAGACAAACAATCAAAAATCATGGGTTTTGTTGGCCAAAGGGTTATGGAGTATTGGGTATGGGAGGTTTATGGGTTATGGAGTTGAAATCCTTGCAAACCAACATGGTGGATTGAAAAAGCCATGGGGTATGGGAGGTTATGGGTTTTTAGGTGTATGGGTTATAGGAGGTTCAACTGTAGTACTATTTCTAACGCAAACAATGCTCGAGAGTCCTTCATTTTATAATGTTTGTCCTGTGAGCCATATTGTGGGAACTTATACCCACATAGTGTACTGTGTTCCATTAGCCATTGACCATCCCCCAACTTCCCAAGTTGAACAGAATATATGCTGCCAAAAGGAGATTTTTATGAATTTATATGGTTTTATATAATTTTGTGGACATGCCATGATGTGTGGGGTGAGGCAAAAATGTATAGGTGGCATGACCATTAGTGTTGCCGTGGTGTCATTTGGGGTAACGGTGTTTCTTTCCCACAGACTGTTCCTGCAACAGACTCAGTTGGAAACTGTGAATTTCTTGATCCTATCTGACCTAAAAATTGGCTGAAATTTTGTTTCTTGCCCAAAGAGGCTCAGAGAGCATGAATAAGGCAACACTGTTCACCAAAGTGGCACTGTGGCAACACTAATGATCATTAGGTAGTGTTATATTGGTCACCCACCATGTTGCATATTTCCACCATTTCTACATCAATCTGTATTGATATTATGAGTTGAAATTGCTATGCAATATACTATGCAATGATATCAGATGAGCCATGCACTATCCTTGAAGGCTTCCAAGTTTTATTTAGGTTTTACTAGGCAGTTGGTAGCCATGCCCTAACTCCAACATATAATTTTTACTGGGATTTATTGGAGGTAGGTCTTGCTGGGAAAAGTTGGTAGTATCATACCCTAGTGTGTTAAATGATATAAAACTTACAGCTAGCAGATATGTGGAGATCATGATGAGCAGGAAGGCAGAATGCAAACACCCTGTTTGCAGTACTTTGTGACAAGCCCCTCCATCTGAAGGGCATCACCTGTGATGAAACCTGACCAATTCTGAAGTCCACAAGCAGGTGCACCCACAACCACCCAGCCACTCACTGCCCCCAACTTCCAACTGCCCAGCACTTCTGCTTCTTCAGTGCCAGATTGTAACAGCTTGTTAAGCTCTGTGCAAAACTAAGGTCAAGATATGTTGGCGACATTGGAGATGTACAGATAGGACTTGGCTTCAGCTTGTATGCTGGGCCGCTATTACAAGTTGTGTCCTAATTTCAAGTCAGTCAGGTCCAATGTGTTTGGACAATAGAAGTCAAGAGGGGGAGGTCGGAGATGTTGGAGTGGTCGGAGATGTCAAGACCAAAGGTCAGGACTATAGTAATGTGGTAAGACAAAGTCAAACCAGAGGCCAGTCAGAGGTGGTCTGAGACAAAGTCTGAGACAAAGTCAAAGACAACGAACAAGAATATAACAGAGGGTAAACTAAGTTGATTTCCAGATAGAGAACTACCTAAGAATATACATGTACTTATATACTCTAAACAGGAATTAACCCAAAGGAGATAATAGAGAGATAACAGACAAGTCGGAAAGGGTCAGAAAGCAGGGTAGGTCAGAAGGAGTAATAATAAGGGGGATGACAGGCACGAACAGGGGGATCAGATAAGGATGGGACTAAGATACAGGATACAAGTTCAACATGATTTCAGTCATAGCCTATAGAAGATAAAGGCATGACAGTATGAAGATAAGAGAAGTGACCAATGAAGGCGGGGGTAGGGAGCAAGGTTGGCAATCATCGGTGACGATGAAGACGTAGTATGTGGTCGGAGATGTCAGGTGGGCATTATACCTGTCAGGGAGTGGTCAGGTTGGTCACACCGGGGTAGGGTGTAACACAGCTTTAATTGCTATTATATTATGTATATAGTAAATAATGTACATTGATATTATGTAATAAATATTGTGGACACCATAAGTGTCCACAACAGCATGTATTAGCATGCTGGTGCATTAGGCACCAGCATATACTTTTAACTCACACCATTGTACTACCTTTACACTCAATAAAATACTTGAGTTCAGTTAGTCTATTGTGAATAAAGATATCAAAATTATACAGATATCTTACTTCTTAATTTTGGGAATAAAATTTCTGTTCCACTGTCCACCTACTCGCTGTAACAAGAATAATTGCCTTGGACTCTGGACTCCGGATGTAAGCCTGCCAGCTCACTACACTTATATTTAGGTCCCGCTTTGATGACAATATTTAATCTCGACTTCTAGATAGCCAACATTTGGGTTTTCTCTAAGTCAAAATGAAAAGATATGGATTCTGGATAGGATTTATTTCTTGTATAATTTATAAATTTGTTTGTCATTTCAACACTTATAAAATCTAACTTTCCTCAGCATTCTCTGTCAGCATGAAATTCCTAAATCTCATTAGATTTTCTCTCAGACTAAAACAGCAATTTCAATAAAGCATTTCACACAGTTGAAAAGAATGGGTGTCTCTTGTGAATTAGATAATAATAATATAATGCTTAGATGCATATATGCATCCATAAGAGTCCATAAAGACTTAGGATAATGGATTAACACAAAGTTAATCCCTTACAGACAGGTCCTTGGTTCATAGAAGGCAAATAGAAAAAAAAGAAGTATAGGCTACCTGCCTCCTTATTAAGTCTTTTTTTTTTTGTAGCTTTCACACCCTTTTCTTCTGGCTTGGTCTTCAAGCATACCTTGAGGATGAAATCAAGTACTTCTGAGTAGAAACTTATTAGTCTTAGAGTCATTGTCAGGTTGCCAGACATGAGAAGTGCCTGGCATAAACCAGAAGCCTAGACTCACTGGCTCCATAAAGAACAAATAGATGCACTCTGATGGTAGATGTACTATGGGAAATCTGAGTGTGGCAGTATATATGAAATATAATTGTGGTGTATAGGAAATTAAATGCCACATCCTCATTTGCAAAATTAATTTTCAGTCATTCTTGGTCATTTATAAGGAAAAATAATTCAAAATGTTATAATGAGAAAATTATTATTTATTTATTTTTGACATGGGACCACCCATATGATTCCCTTACAACTACACTGAAGCTTGGCAGAGGGGTTGGGGGGTAAAATCTGCAGTCTGTAGTGTACTAGTGACGTACCAAATTAGACAGATTGTGCAGGAGCCACAGTGCCACCTGTGGCTCCAACAATGAATATAAAGTGACTAAAATAGCTACAGTAGAGCCACTGGTGGCATTGTGGCTTTTTGCACAACCTCTCTATTTATATGTTGCAGGTGGTTGTGTCCTTGGTTTCAAGTCAATTAATGTACTAAATCTTGGGATTCTTAGCCAATTTGGTTCTGTCCCACTTTCACTCATTCCACATGGCACTGCGTAACTAACATTATTTTCTACCAAGGCGACACATTTTTTTTAAGAATGTGTTCAAATCAATGTAAAGGAAGGAGGGATGTATGGAAAGCCATGACCTGTCTTAGTAAATATACATGTGCCAGGGATATTAAATAATATCACATGCAATCTGGACTTTTAAGTGAGCTTCAAAGCTTCAAAGCAATGATGGTTGA